CTCGTTGCGGAGCTAGTTGTCGTGGACCTAGTCGTTGCGGAGCTTGTTGTCACGGAGCTGTCTGTCGTTGAGGTCGTCGAGGTGGAGGTTGTCGTCGTTGAACGAGTCGTTGTAGAGCTAGTTGTCGTAGAGCTAGTCGCTGAAGAGCTCGTTGTGATGGAGCTGGTCGTTGTGAAGCTGGTGCTCGTTGTAAATGTCGACGTGCTCGAGAGTGTTGATGACCAAGTCGCAGTGGTGCTAGATGTGGTCAACGTGCTGGAACTTGAGCTCGTGGCGGACGTTGAAGTTGTGATGGAGCTTGAAACGGTCCAGGTTGTGCTGCTAGAGCTGCTTGTGGTGCTAGAGCTGGTAGAAGACGTACTTGTGGATGACGATGTTGTTGACGTAGACGTACTCGTTGTAGCTGTACCGGTTGAGCTCGTCGATGTTGTGGCAGTGAGTGTTGTAGATGTCGTAGGGATGATGCCCAAGTCAATCGGGGGCAGGTAGTCGCCCATCGTGTTGGCTCCTGCTCCTCGAGTAGTGAGATCTCCTTGTCCCAACCATCCGTAAACTCCCCCGCCGCCCCAGCATTTCGTGCTACCATCATCAAGAAGAGCACATGTAAAGCCGGCGCTGACGCTGACGCTCGTGACTGTACGGCCTGTGCCCACGTCCACAGTGGGGAGGTTGTCCCCCATTTCCGAAGCTGCAAGACCACGATTCAGTGTCTCTCCCAGCCCCAGCTGGCCACCATCATTGACACCCCAGCACTTCAGGGTACCGTCGTCGAAAATGGCACAGGAATGTTGAAACCACGTTGCAACTTTGACAGCGACCTTTCCAGTTCCCAGGTTATGGCTGGAAAGGAATCTCCCATCACAAAGCCAGCAGTGTCTTGTCCACGCGCCGCCTTGTTGGTGGCTGTGTTGTCTGACCAGCACTTCACACCACCATCATCCAGGACAGCACATCCCATGTTCTGACCCAGGCCGATGTGAGTTGCATGCCTTCCTGTGCCGAAGTCGATGGTCGGGAGATTGTCACCCATTTGGCCGGGTGCAGTCCCGCGCATGACGCTATCTCCGTATGGCACCTCCTGCCATTTCCCCCAGCACTTGGTCGAGTCGTCTGTGAGGATGACACAGATGGAGCCCTGGCCCGAATAGAGTGCTTTTGCTACCTTGCCCGTCCCGAAGTCAACTTCTGGTAGATTCTCTCCAAGTTCATTAACATTTGTTCCCCGGGTCGTGGTATCTCCAAACCCAAGTGCTTGTAATCCTCCACCCCAGCATTTCACGCTCCCACCATCAAGTAAGGCACACATGCTGTAGAAGCCTCCAGCCACTTGCTGCACTGTTCGGCCTGTTCCGAGCATGGCAACAGGAGAAGTTCCGTCAAAGCCCACACCGCCGACGTCAGTATCTGTTCCGATTCCGCATTGGCCATGTTCATTCCATCCCCAGCACTTCGCATTGCCATCATCCAAGACTGCACACATCGTATATTCCCAAGGGCCTGTCGTCAGGCTTGTAGCAGTTCGTCCAGTGCCCAAATCGATGGGGGGCAAGAAATCCCCCATCTGATCCGGCTGGTGGCCGCGGTTAGCGGAGTCCCCTTGGGCCAGTGCCCCATGGGTCTGTCCACCCCAACACTTGACATTTCCATCATCTAGGAGGGCGCATACACTTCTTTTCCCGGCGTGCACTTCAGTCGCACCGTAGTTGCTCGAGGCTAGGACGCAGATCCAATTCAGTGCGGCGGCCAAAACAATCGCTGCCATTGCTGGCGCCCAGAGATTGGGATATTGAGCTTAATGTCAAATCATTAGAATAGGGCTTTGGGGTTATCATACTATGACCATAATAAGGAACTCCCAAAATTAGGTAAGCATCAGGGCCCCAAGTTTAGTTCGGAGACTTGGCTCTCTAGCCTGAAGTGCCTGGAGGGCTTGGGGCAATTTCGAGAAGGACAATCGAGACAGACCGCAACCGAATACTCCAGGTTAGCGGGCACGCTCAAGCTGTTGCCAGATCTACGAAATAGTCGGGTTAAGAGATGCCAGATTCAAGCGCTTGCGGGTTTCAGGCACTTTCTTCCAGATCCAGGTTGAAGCTTCAAGCCTTGGGCTTCCGACGGTGCAGGAATTTCGGCTCCAAGAAGCAAATGGGACATCTCACGCAGACGCTTCGCAGCGAAGTGAGCAGCGACAACAAACAAGGGAAGTTTGGGATAATGAACCACAGCTTTCACATACAAGCGTTGCTCAGCGGTTGGTTTGGCGAAAGCCTTGTCAAAGGTCTTCCTGCACTTGCATGCACTTGTGCCAGCTTGCCAAGCCTCTCCTCAACAGTTACAGCTAAACCCGGGTCAGAACAACTTAAATTCAAATGGTGTGGAACTTAAATTCCAGTTTTTGGCCTTGTTGTACCATGTTGGAGTCGAGCAAGCACCTGAAACTGCGAAAAAAAGCAACATCTTAAGCCCCAAGGTTGTGTTAACATGTTACTGGTAGGTAAGGCCTGCTGTTTTAGGAATGTAGACTGACTGTTTTGGGGGGTTCACGTTTGGGCCTGGGGTTTTGATTATTAGGTGGTTATTAAGACTTAGGGATCGGTTTCACAAGTTCCTTCCCCCAGCTGATCTTCATGGGCCTCCAACATGTGCTGAAGCGAAAACTTGCGTGGCTTCGACTTATATAGTATCCGACATGTGTTTGATGCGGTTCTGGCAATGCTCGATTCTCAGTCAATATTTTGGGAACAATGGCACTTTCCAAGTCAAGAGAAAACAGAGGACTTGTGCCACTAAGCGTAACCCTCATTTTTCCAGTTTCACGGCGCAAGTGTACCGAGATTAACTGCCACGTTCTTTTTCAGAACATGCCAGTACTGCTCGAATGAGAATACAATTGCGAAGAAGACGGCGAAGGATTTTTTTCCTAACGCTGGCGGTCCCCGATCTCATTTGCTAACGTTAGCTCTTCCTTTTGGGCTGCAATTAATTACTGTAAATTGCAGCGGTTGCCGCTGTTCTGCGTCGAGCTGTCGGGGAACTGCAATTAGCAGGGTCCCGTTCTGCGCCAAGCTATTGGGGGGAGTGCAATGTCGAGGCTCCTGTCTTGTGTCAAGCTTTTGTGGAATTGCAATTAGCAGGGATTCGTTTTGCCTCAAGCTATTGGGGAATTACAATCTGCAGGGTCTTACTTTGCTTCTAGCCATTGGGGAATCACAACTTGCACGGTTTTGCGTTGTGTCAACCTATTGGGGAGTTCCAACTTGAGAGGTACTGTTTTGCCTTAAGCTATCGTGGGAATACAATTTCGAGGCTCCTGTCTTATGTCAAGTTATTGGGGAATTTCAGTTTGCATGGTCTTGCTTCGTGTCAAACTATTGGGGAATTACAGTTTGCAGGGTTTTGCGTTGTGTCAAGCTATTGGGGAGTTCCAACTTGCAGTGTATTGTTTTGCCCCAAGCTATTGGGGAGGCTCCTGTCTTTGTAAAGCACTTTGCAGGGTCTTGCTTTGCAAGCAGTCAAAGCGAGCGAACGAGCGTACACTTGACAGCAGCGCCGTGGTGCTGTAGATGCATCGTTCTGAAGCGTTGTGATCTTACAGCTTGCGTGTATTTCCGTTTCACTTCCGAGCAACACGTTCCTATTATCGTGTCCGCTGCTACCGATTCTGGTGATGCTGTCGCGCTGGCATTTCTCGCCCATGATTATCATCTGTTGCCGGCAACTGCTCGTCATCACGTGTTCTCTTCATCCTTCTGGATCTTTCGGGTACAATAAACTATCGAGACACTCAACAGGGGCTTGCCGAGACGGCACGCAGCCATGGCACAATTCCACAAGTCCCTGCCCGCAAAACACGTCCTGTGAGCATAGGTGGATTCAGCGCGGCTCCAGCCACAGAAGAGCAGATCCTCCCAGGAGAACTGGCCCAACAGGCCACGCAGCTATGTGACTGCTTTATAGGCATTGGAGCATTCTAATCATAATATCTCGGGTTGCTACACTCGATAGTGCTCTTATGGTGCGATAGCTCCCAAAAACCGAAATGGGTTTACGGTTTTCGGCTCTGACCCTCGCACAATGCAGGCGAGGTTTACGGTTTAGGGCTTTACGGCTTTGGTGCTCACTGTCACATGGACATGGCAAGCGAGACTCTTGGCCGTTACTCGGTTGCAGGTGAAACCTATGCTCGAGGCTTGCTGATAAAAGAAACACGGGGTGTTTTAGGCAATGCAACACTCTTTAATGTGAAAGTTACGTGTGATCGACCGATTGTGGTGGTCGCGTACGTGCTTGAGCCCACCGGGCAAGTGTGTGAACGGGCAGGCAAAGTCGCCAGGTCGGAGAACTATGTCGAAAAAATCTATTATTGCTACTGAGACCATAAGACTAAGACTGGCAACCGCGCCTCTGCACATAACACTGCAAAAAAAGACATACGTCGTAAAAAACCTACCACAACTGCTATCTTCAGTCTCCGCCCTCTCGCTCGCTCAGATCAACATCCTGTTGCACTTCATCCCTTGCATCAAATTCCGGGGCTTGAGTTCCAGGGATCTTCCCAAACGGAGCCGCCACCAAACACCAGAAGTAGATGTTGTTGCAGTGGTGCTGTTGGGGTGCAGGGTCGACCTTGCATGCCCGCGACATGAGCCACGAACTCGCATCCCAAGCGTGGCAGGCATAGCATGTCCCGGCAAGCTGCCCAGGCACTGCCGTCTTGGGCACTGCTCTCTGAGGACGTGCTGGATGTCTCTTGGAGCAACCACCCCGAAGCCGGGCTTGCAGCCTCCAAATCTGTCTGGCAGCAAGCCTCTGCCAAAAGTTCGCTTACTTTCTAGAAGGCAGTCGGCCTTTTGCAAGGCGTGCGAAAACGCAGAAGCTCATTGACATGTTCCACGTCCCGCGACGGCTCACTGTGCTTCTTGAGAAGCAGGGTCTGGCTGAGACGACTCATATGCAACTTGGGCTTGGGGCTCACCACTCGCCAGACCGCCTGCTCATGTTCTAGTCTTCCTGGCCGTCCTGGCCCAGGAAGACGAGGGAGGCCTCAAGCCAAAACTCTTGAGCCAAAATAGCTACGCGATTTAGGGCTAAGGGTCTGAAAGCTTATGAACAAGCTCCTTAGTCTGGCATGCCCAGCAGATAGCCAGTGCACAAAGCACCGCAGCGCGCCGCAGTTTCTTCATGGCTGCGCACGTCGGGGGAGGGGGTGTATTGTACCTGCCAAGCATCTGCTGGTACTTTCTCGGTGGTGACATTTTGTAATTTAAAAAACTCTTTCACTGATCCATGCGAAGATTCTGAAGCACATAAAAGGGTTCAGTCTGCAACGAAGCCGATAATTCATGGTATGTCACTGCAGTAATGCAATGCTCGAGCCAGCTGCCAACACTCCATGTCCATGCATGCTCACCTGACACGCGGTGGGGGCATGCATCTTAGGGCCACACGCGCAGGCTCTGTCCAGAACATCTTGAACCTGAGGAAGGTTGCCCCTACTCGAAACACTATACTTCTAATATTTCGAAGCTGTGGCTGGCACTGCGAAATTGCTCTCTGCACTCTCTTGGTGCGCAGTCACCCTGCCGGACGGCAAGGAATCATGAAGGCTGAATACCTCAGAATCCTTCGGCTCGGAGCAGCATGAAAGTCACAGCTCTCTTTTTGAACCCTTGAGGTGGTGTCGCAGGAGGCGGCCTGGGTCTAGTGCTCAAACCTTTTGGCTCGGGAGCTGTAGGAAAATCCTCGAGATCTACGGGATGCCGGATGCCCATCAGACGCACCATCGTCATGTGGTAGCACGCTGCCACTCACAATAACCAGGTCCTGGGCATCCCCTCCATGGCTTAAAAACTCGATCCAAGCGTTGCAAAGCTTCGGAAAGAGATCACACGGCCAGATTGAAAAGCACGGGCCCAAGTTGAGAGTTGGAGGCAGCCGCTGCTGGTAGCCCTCAGGTGAGGTGCAGATCATGGCAATGAAGTGTTGTCCAGCCGTGAACAGGGTTGCACAGTAGCCTCCACCATGACCCAAGGTGGCACAGATGTTGTATCTGATCCTCCACATCACACGTGCACGCTGGCTACAAAAGGCAACTTGTTTGCCTGGTGCGGACAATCTTGGAAAACCGGACAGTGGTGCTTGAGCTCGTTTCCATTCCGAAGCCACAGCGCAAACTCTAGGTGCAACTACAACTGATTTCAAACCCCAAACCCGTAGAAAGCTTAGACCCTCCAGCGGACCAGTACCTGCCTGGTAGCTTGTCGCTGCAAGGGGACACTTACTAGTACTATTTGTTATTATAGTTATTAATTATTATTAGTATTATTATTATTTGGGAGTAGATTCGGAATGGGGGCCACTGATTCCCCGGCAACTCCTTGCCAGTAGCCTTCCTGACTCGGCCGTGAGCTGGAAAACTGGATGGGCAGATGGGAATCCGCAACAGTACTAGCGATGGGTGGGAATCTTGGCAACAAAAGCCCCTACTGTTTCATTAACAAGGAACGTGGTCGCACAAATAGCCACAAAAGCAGCGGTAATGTTAGCAGCTAGCACCAGTATGCATAAAATATGCCCAGCATGTTCGAATTGAGCTGCATTGCACTCGAGGCTCAGGCACAGAGCTGCAATTTGGCTTCTGCGTCTCATATATTCCAGGATGCTTCGGCTCTGTCGTCCTTCGGAAAATCATTAGAATAGGCCTTTCGAGGGTATGTTCCTGAAACATATATATATATAAACATTTCTATATATATATATATGTGTGTGTATATATATACACACACACGGAACCCCCTTTAAAAAACACAAACACAAGCACACACACACACACACAGAGACACACACAAGCTGCTGAGGTAGTACATCCTCCGAAAGTTCTACCATCTGCCTGAGTTCGGTGTTCGTGGCAGGGGCCAACCGCGGCCCCTTCATCCATGCTTGATGCATCACCCAGCTCTCCGCGGGTCCACCACACTCACGCACATCATGCACCGGCAGCACGTACAGGGCCACCTCCGCCAAATGGCACAAG